ACACCAGTGCTATGTGTGGTCTCACCTTTGTCTGGATAATAAGCCCCCACTTTTATGTGTTCCAAAACAGCAATTATTGTTGAGGTTCCTGCTGGCTTACTGTACACACAAGTTGTTTTAGTTCTTAAAATAGATACATCCTGTGTATATATTTCTCTCATGCATTTTCTCAAAAGTGTTTTTCAAAAACATTTACATTATCTCCAGGATATTTACACACTATATCTACATCATAAATTTTCAAGGATTAATACCATGTCCCATTATTTATTTATTATTATATTTTTTTTTTACATCAAAGGATTGACTGAAACATGTGCGTCTGACAACAGCTTTTAAATTGCATTGTTCCAATGACTAAGACTTGCAAACAAAGACAGATAGGCTTAAAACAAGTCATTTAATTAGTGTGGGATCCCAGCTTTGCTTGTACCATCCAATTATGCATTCCTTTGGCATCTGCTGGTCCTATTTCACTGGGGAAAGCTAATATTTTCTAGTCCTGTCTCTTACAGTATATCTATCTATTTAAAACAATGTAAATGGAGAAGACAGACAGCATCATTAGACAGCTGCTGACAAGTGGCAGCCGTTTTGTCGTTTAAATAGTGGGTTTTTACTAGAGGGCTAACAGGCAACTTCAGATCAATTACAGCTGCCATTATTGTTTGTTGTGAGTTTGGCCAAGATGCAGAACTAGGGACACAAGTGGCTTGAGAGAGCAGAGTTGTGACTGTAATCTTCCTCCCTTCTCGTTCCTCCCAAACAAACGATAAATCACTCAGCTGAGGAGATAATGAAGCACCGAACAGGCCCTGCTTTCATTGTCGTTTGGGGAAATCTTCCACGCTCACTAGGAAGAGATAGATCACAATAGAGTTACATCCAGTAGTTTTGAGTTTAGATTTCATTGACACTTTTCATTATTTCCCATAGAAATCAATTGATGTGAATTCCTAAACCATGCAATATCATCACGTTAACATATTATAAGGGGTTGTACTAGAAAAAATAAGTAATCCAGATATACTAAAATAATTGCTCTAACATCATTAAATGAGTATTACAGTATGTAACCTAGTACCCAATCACAGATTGTACATGCAGTTTTTTATTAGATATTTTTAATCAAACATACAAATTCCCATAGAAATTATATATAAATATAAAGATATATACATTTTTTGGAATTACATGAGCTTAATGCAAGACATATACAGGAAAACCTACAAAACCAAAGCATTTCACTTTGCGGCACCAAAAGACATCGTGGGTGATGGTTGCGCTGAATTGCATTACCTGTCAGCTTGTGGTTTCTTGAGTTCGTCAGAGCAGTCCTGCATGTCAGCTCAAGCCTAAATCATACCAATGGTAATATGCGGTTTCGTTTTACCATATGTGCTCAAAAAGACAGCTGGAGGCAAGGGGTAATTAAAAAGGCAATGGAACATGTATTTGTCAAATTTAAACAGAAAACAAACAGTGCTTGTACTTCTGCTGCTTTGGTGGGATAGATTTTTCTCTTACCAGTGGAACTCTGGTTGCGTTCAGGGAGTTATCTTTTATTTATTTACTGATTTCCCGAATCTTAGTGATAAAATAATAAAGCTAAGATGTTTCTTGCACATTTATTCAAAATTATTCCAGAAATGTTCTTTTTTTTTTATGCAGCTTTAGCTCTGCATGCTCATTGAAGGATTTCATTGATTGATTAAAACTCACTATGAAACTTCCCTTTTCATATATTTATTACTGTCCTCTAGCCAGTTAAGAAGCTTGCAGAAATATTACCTGTCTGCTCACACTTAAAAAAGGGCAGTGCTTCCCAAAAGTGCTGAATATATTTTTATATTGTTTAGTAGATCAGCGAGTATACCACGGAACCGTGTATTAATGTAAGAGGCACAATGCATTTGTTTATAAAGCAGCATTTCCCAACCCATCCTTGGGGACCAACAGACGGTCCATGTTTTTGCTCCCTCCCAGCTCTCTGCCTGACAGGTAGGGAGGGAGCAAAAACATGGACCGTCTGTGTGTCCCCAAGGATGGGTTGGGAAACACTGTTATAGAGAAACTGACAAGAACAATGCTGGCGTCTCATTGATGTTTTCAGCAGATTGCTGTGGTATTCACCTCCAGAAGCATTTGTTTATGTCAATTCATACAGTTCTCTTTTCAGCAAAAATTCTAGTCTGACGAGAGCTGTATTCCCTTGAGTTCCTTTTAATGCTGAACAGCATACATATTTGGGGTAATTTACCTGAAGCAAACCTGCAAGACTTCAAAAACAAAATCATGTTTACCATTATTAAAACAGCAAATAATTTAACAGGGTTCTATTAAAAAAACAAAACAGCCGAACTAATGTGCTACACAAGGCATATATATAAATAATCAAAGAACACAGCAGCTTAAATTGAGTCTTAATTTAAACAGCCTTTAGTATGAATCATCTATTTGTAATTGAAATTAGTTCTTATATAGACAGCAAATTATGTTGCACAGCCTGCTGTGGTTAAAATGAGAAAACTGATACTCACATGACTTTTTCAAGCATAACTACCATCACATTAAGGAAATGGCATTGCACACGATTGCCAGAAGCCTTGAGATAAATGAACTGTAACCACTGATGCTGTGTAGGTAGGTATTATAAGTTGTATTTAATTTCAAGCAGTGCTTTTCTGTTTTTTACGAGCTTTTAATAGAGATAGTGTGTATTATTGCTCTTATAATAAAATCACACACTGTTTTAAAATTATAAAATGCAAACACAAGAATTCCAGGTTTTAAAGAAAGAATCAATGCTTTTTAAAAGTAAAGGTATTTGGAATAATACTTTAACGTTAAAAGTGTAACGACTTTGTATAACTCAAAATATAAGACTAGCTGGCCTGACTACTACGCTTTTGCTAACTGTAACTTCAGTAGTTTCATTTACATAACAACGTAACATGAAGTTAACAAATGATACTTCTTGACTGGTATATTTCACAATAAACCGTTGTACTGTAGGCAAACATATTGTGTAAATCACGCCATTGTCTGTTGTAATTTGTGTTGTAAAACCCAAGAACAGTAATCCTTACTTGATATCAAGAACTTATTGACTGTTCAGGAATAACAAGTTACATTTCAGGTATCGTTACACTGTGTACTGGTCTTGATCAGTTCAGATTTTAATGGTTTATATTTTACTTGTGCTTTTCATCAGTGTATGTTTTGCTGGAGTAGTTCAGAGCAAAAGTCAGAAGCGCTGGTTATTATAATAACAAACTCGCTCTGAAAGGATCTTCAGAAACAGACAAAGAAATGGGCACCAGAGACCCACTAAACCAATTCTCAGAAAAGTAGCTTTGAATGATTTTGGAATTTAGCCAATTCTGGTCAAAACACCTATTATCTCAGGGGCTTGTAATAGACCCTCCATCTGTACACTCAATGCCATGGTCCTATACCAATCTTGCACAAACACTTGGGCCCCTTTCAGTTGGAAAAGTACATTACTTGCAGGATGCTTTAAAATTGAGCTTGTACAAGTATCAACATTTTGTTGAATCTTCAAACGCGACGCCATTGTGTTTATGAGGCGGCAATATGGCATCACATTAATCCACAGGTATATTTCTTTCATTTGTCCGTCTAAAGTTAGAATAGACTTTGCACAGATTTTTGGCAGCAGAACTGTAGCACCTGCTAACAGATGATAAAGACAATTTCAGATTTGAAAAATTCTGTTTGTCTGTGTGCATTTGTGAGTGTCCGTGTCAGCTTCTCTATAAAGCGCTCAAAAAATCTTTGTGTTGCTCTGTCAAAGGCTGGTTTTCAGCCAGTCTGGCTTTTGTGTGTCTTTGAATGGTAGATATATTCTGACTCGCTCAATTCGCTCCTTGCGGTGCTGTAGGTGTTCAGCACACGCACACTGCTCCTGTGCGAGCTTTTAATTGAGTCCAGTCGCTCGAGTTGTAATTGATTCAAAATCTCTGTTCTACAATGGGCACAATTACAAAGTGGTGCTTGGCATCTTCTCCTTTAATCTGCTTTCCTTCTTATGTTTTGGAATTTGTTCCTCTGTTAATTTGCATGCTATCTTTCTCATGGAAATCAGTAGTTTTTTTTTTCAAGGGAAAAATGACAAAGATAAGTAGCTTGTGCTACATTTTTTGAAACGTAAAAGGCTTCGTAATTGAGATCCGCTTCCCCACTGTCTACTGATATGCCGTTGAAAGGCAGAGTTGAACTGTTCCCTGGCTTTTCTGCCCAGTGCTTTTTCCTGTTTTCTTTCAGCCAAAAATATCAACAAAAGGGGCTCCATCGACTTCAGGAGTGAAAAATAAGTTTCCCTTTTGAGGATTCGATGCTCTTGGTCGCTTTTGATCCCTAAAGTTCAAAGTCGATAGAGAGCAAGAGTGCAGTTTCAACGTGGGGACAAACATCTAGCAGTGACCTTATTCATACCAGCCTGTCCTTTGAAAGAGGGACTTTTTTTTGCTCATTCATATAAATCTATAAAGATTGTCTGTTCATAAAATGTTCTTCTCTATAATTACTGTGTTATCTGAGACAAAATTAACTTTAATCCTAATATTGGAATAAAAAAAATCAACAAAACATGTTTATTAAAATTTACAGACAAGAGTTCTGTTTCACAGTTCAATGTATTTTGCTGATCTACATTTTAATGACTTTATGATTAGGTTATTTTCATATATACATCAAAATTTGAATATGTAAATTAATAATGATCAGCATGACTGATCTGTCTGCAATTCTTTTTTTATTTATTACATATGTGCACGTTCTTATCAGGTATTATAAACAATATTTATGATTCTTTGTTTTAGTAAATATTTCCATGTTGAGGTTTTTTGATAGTCTTGAAAATCTCTGAAATCTTAAAACTTTCAATTTAATATACATAAGTCATTAAAATCTGTTGGAGGCTTTTCGTCTCCCTGTAGGTTCCATTCTTGTGACTAATTGTTTCAATTCCCTTACAGGTTTAGAGCTCCCCTTCATGATGATGCCCCACCCCCTGATTCCTGTTAGCCTGCCCCCAGCGTCTGTTACCATGGCAATGAGTCAGATGAACCATCTCAGCACCATTGCCAATATGGCCGCAGCCGCGCATGTGCAGAGCGTACCATCGCGAATGGTGACTTCCGTCATAAAGGTAGCAAAATGCTACATTCTATTCAGTTCAGATCACACCAGACAGTAGTTCAGATACTTTAAGACAAAATAACCATTGGCTAAGTCAAGCTCAAATAATGTTATCATTATTCTTTTGTTTTCTGCTTTAATTTTATACAGTAGGTAGCAGTAACAGAGCTAAGTTTAGTATGTGTTGTACATATTAATGACATATTAATGACATATGACATATGTGTGCATCAGCCAGTACACCAACCTAAACCTTTTTTCCATCATCCTACTAATATTTTTTGTTATTTGGTGGGGTTTATTGCAAAAGAATGCAGGGGAAAATATTGTTGTCGAAAGAAACAAAAAATAAATGCATTATATGGTGATCATATCTAAAAGCGAATAAAGGCACCTTCGGCAGTGACAGGGGCAGGTGCTGCTGGTGAACGTGCATCTTTTCTCGTGTGACAGGAGCGGGTGCCTGACAGTCCCTCTCCTGCACCATCTCTGGAAGACGGGAGGAGGCCGGGAAGTCACCCATCATCTCACAGGAGCAGCAGTGTGTCCAGCTCTCCAGCACACACAGAAAGCTCGTCAGACCGAATTCGTGAGTCCTCCCTCTTCTGACCTTTCAAAAGTGTAAAAGCTTTGCGGGATTTTCCGAAGCACCTTTAGGACAAAGGCGGCAACAAAAAAAACCTTTTAGGAAAATGAGTCACCCCTTTTTGAACTTTGCCATGGCTGTAGACTTGCCTTATTGTAAGTATTTTGTATGGTGTTGTACTGTGATTTCTATCCATTGAAAAAAGCTCAATGGGAAATACAATTATCCGGTTACCAATGATTCAGTACTCACTTTTAATGGTATAAATAGCCATGATCCCTAGAAAAGAGCCCATTTTTTCAGTGTATCAATGTATTTTTTGTATTCCTCTAAAGCCATACACCAGAATGGACTCTCAATGAACCAGGCTCTTCTGGGAATGTCTCCAAACATACTGCCAGGACCAAAGGAGGGAGATCTTGCCACTCATGACATGGGGCGAGAAGCCAAAAGAATACATACCGAAAAAGGTCAGTTTCCCCTTTTTTAGCTTTCTAATTGTCCGCAAGATCAATTGTGCAATTTTCGTACAAGTTCCGGTTAAGGTAGAAGATATTCACGATGAACATAATGACCCTATCTGTTCCTAATGCAAATGAAATGTTAAATGGTAATATTAAGCTCAAACGTTGGCCATTTTTGTTCCAAAAAAAGCCCAGGTGTCCTTAAAATGGCCCTTTTATAAGTGAACTGTAGAACAGTGATGTAATGACCTTTGTTGCATTTCACATTAAATGAATGAAATATGAATGTGGTTCATATTAGAAACTAACTAGTTATTATCCGTGAACCAATCCTCATAATGATTCGTTCTGATTTTTTTTCTGAAGAGCTACACAAACCCCAAACAAACTGTTGTATCTGCAATTTGTCTGTTTCAACCACTGTGCATCCCATAATTCCAAATGTCCTGCTTGCATTCATATTTCGGAAAATGTAACCTTGGGACTGTTCAAACGAAGTGGTTAAATGGTACAAAAAAATGCCATGACTTTTTATTAAAGGGAGTGCAGCACAGTGGAATGTACCCAACAGAACACAAGGACCTATGCATATACCAGAAAGAAAGATCATGTTTTGCATTAGATCAAAAACTCCTCTAAGCTGGGGATTACAATAAAAAGAATTCAGAGTAAAAGCAAAACCAAGACAATGAATGCATCTTTGCACATTTCAGCATCAAAAGACACATACTCCTTTTAAATGTCAAAAATGATTTGTTCGAATCAGCTGCTTTAAAAGTGCATGAGTTGAACTGACCAATGATATTCCAAGAATGTGAAAAAATAAAATGCTGTGTTTTCAGGTGTTTTCAGCCACCGCCATTATCATTTAGATCAGACCAGCCTAATATGTCACTCAGACTGTTTGGAATTCAGGGCTCTCCAATGTGTGCACCAAAGGTCTCGGGCTTTGGAAAACATTTTTATAAAATAATCCATTAATGCAGAGGAGTGCAACTAAATTAGATAGCAATTTGCTGAGCATGAATTAATGAACAGAGCTTCTCCCTGCTCCCAGAGTTGTAATTTTCATAATAACCTCAGACCTTTATTTGGCAGGTTGTTTAGTTTTTTTAGTTTGAAGGTTTTCATTAGTCTAATGAGGACTGTGCAAGGGCGAGCAGTCAGCACAATTTACATGAGGAAGCTATCATAATAAATGAGGCAATTTGAATAACACGCACAGGTTTATGCAGCGAGATAAGAGAGATTGTACAGTGAGATCTTGAGGTAACCAATACATTAGACCAGCTAATAACCAAAGTAATCCCAATAAAAGCCTTAAGTGAAGGGAATAAAATTAATGATATATATATTGAACTGTAATGATATGATACATGAGGCATTGGATTAATAAAATAAATGTGTCCCATTGTTAAAGAGGGTCATACAATTCTGCCTTTGTTTATGCGAACCATTTTAATTAGGGTTGCTCATCGGATCAGTTTGTTTATACAAATTATATTACATTTCAATGGTTTAATGATATTTCTCCACTTGTTTGAGCTTTATAGTCTTGCCGGAGCATTAAATTAATTTTATGCATTATACTTTTCAATGTAGTGGATAGTGTGAATACGCATTGTCTTGCGTTGGTCGTATCACTGCATGCAAAGCAGAAACGATGGCACCACACTGGCTATTCAGAGCTGCGTTCTGGGCAGTTTGATCTTTTTTGCTTGACTTTCATTTTTTTCTCTTTTTTGATCAAAGGCAAAATCTTGTATTAACTTGAGTAGCACTATGCTGTGTAAGCATATGGCCCACCTTGGGCTGTTTTTTTATGTTATACACCAAAGAAGGAAATCATGTACCAGTTGTATATACCAATTAAATATGTTTCGTCAGTTGCTATATTATTTATGTTTTCACATTTACTAGCATCAACCGTGAGTTTATGTGTTTAATTTTGTTTTATTTTGTGTGACTTAAGGAGTTATGGCAGTTGTTTCCTGACCCTCGATGTTTGCGAAGGGTAGAAGCCCTGTCATAGACTAATGTCTGAGGATTGACCTTTGACACTAAGCATTTCCATGACATGAAAAATGCATAAAATCAAATGATATAAGCCCAGAGCACAAGAAGACAGTTCTGTTGCAATTTATGACAAATTTTTCTTACCAGTGATAGTAATACACAATACCTAGTTATTGCCAAATTTCACTTCAGCCATATGTCCCCTCTTTTTTTAACTCAAAGACCATGATTAGACTGTTCAATAAAACATTGATTGTCCCGAAATGCTATATCTGGAGACCAAAAACACAATAAGTAATCAGAGGTGGTTCTTTTAAGTACACAAGAGACGGATGGCAGTTAAATGAGTGATGGGGTCTGGAAGCAGCACAGTCATTGAGGGAACATGTCAACTAGAATGTCTGCTGTGAATTGGGCAACATGTGTGTCCAATTATGATGGCATACAGAGCATATCAGCAGCTTCAGCTATACCGCCCATATACCGCCTTATACCACCCTATACCGCTCATATACCACCCTATACCGCCTTATACAACCCTATACTGCCCATATACCAAGAAATGAAGAAGTAAATAAGGTTATAAGGTACATTTTGGTAACTTCTGTCTTTGAGTTGAATTTGTAGGTAAGTCAGAAAAATAATAATGTGTTACATAATCATAATATTTATACAGTAATAATAAACGTATCTACATACTGTACGATATTGTACTGTAGCTCGAGGCGACAAAGCACTGAAGCCACACAACGTTTTCATGGACGTCAGTTTTGCGTGCATTTCTCATTACGAACCATTGTAGTTAAGCCAAAATTTGAATTTAATAGGCTTTATGGCAGTCCATTTGTAAGTGCGAGTTGTCCATAAGTCGTATGTTCTTAACACGGATTCTGCCTATATGTGCAGATTGTTTTTGAGTTTTGCAAATAGAGATTTTAAACAAAAAAAGGACTGGGCATTGAAAACAATGCTGTTACCTTCCATCCCTGCATCCATCCATCCATCCATCCATTATTTTCTGTAAGCAATTATCTAGTACAGGATTGTGGTAACCCTGGAGCCAATTCCAGGAAACACAGGTCACAGTGCAGGGGACACCGTGGATGGGATGCCAGTCAATCGCGAGGCACACACCGTGGCCAGTTCACCTAAGTTGCGTGTCTTCATTGATTTGCTTTTACTGTGATTAAGCATTGTGTTTAGGGTACCAACAGTGTAGTTACTAAGTGCACTTCACTCTTGGCATTTTTAGAGAATTACTTTTAAAAAAAAAAAAACCCAGGATAGCTGAACGGACAACGAATGTGTAAAAAGCTCTGTATATGCAATAAAGGCCTTGGATGGAAGGATCCGCTTTAAAAAGTAAATGACTAAATGAAACCAATGAATTATGGGTGTCACTGAGCTTACCATGTGACTTGTCTAGAACATTCTCTGATGTAGCTTTTGAACCACTGGCTATGTAGCTTTGTTACATTTTCTGACAGTTCACAAGAAAAGAAAAAGGCTGAACAGAGAAAAGGCTGAACGCTGATCAAACACAAGTGAAATGTCACATGGTAACTTTTTTTTTTTACTCCAATGTTAAAATAATAGTCTTTAATCTTTTCTGCTGAGAGCGATTCATTAGATTCAGAATTTTTGAGTATTATGGTTAATATATGTCTTTCATAATCAACAGCTCAAAACATACTCTGAAAGAAACAAGAGTATGAAAGAGTATGTTTTAATGAAGACTGGTTTTGGGAAAGGTCTAATTAAAACATGCAAAATTTCTGTTTTTAGAAGAATCAAATCCAGGATCTATGTAACAAATATTGCTGATGATGAGAGGCTCCTGGACAGCAGAATTCATTTAGATTTGGGCTTCATGAATGTTCTTGTGTCTGACACTGCCAGGTCCTAATCACATTTTACAAAAAGGATGCTTTTAGGAATGTTGAAAAGTGAGAGGTTCTTTTTAATCTTTGAAATGCCTTGAATGTGACAGAATGATTTCTCCTGCCAAGATGTAAGGGCTCTGAAAGAGGGTTAAATGTGCTGTGGTCAGCTAAGTGTTTCTGGTGTTCAGGGAGTAAATTTAATTATGTATTATCATTCTTTGGTGAAGGTGAAACTTACTTCTCCAGAAAACACTTGCCTTTTTCATGTGTTTGAGAAAACTGCTATAGGGCACTGCAACATTCGTTGTCATCAAAATGTAACAGATTTGTATCACATAAATATGATATTCTTTAAATAATGTATCAGATCTGCTATAAGTTGCCCCCTGTGCTGTTGCTATGACTGTAGGTCCAGACTGTGAGCCTCTGCTATCTTCTCACATATTTATCAAGTACTAAGACTCTGATGAATTAGCAAATTCTCCTAAAGACGTCTTTAATTGTTAGCTGTCTAGGCTTGCTAAATTCTTGTTTTGAAAGGAGGCGAATGTTAGCCACCAACCTGGTGGGTGGAATTGGTATATTTGGTGGATGGGCTGATATGTTAAACAGTGCAGTGTTGGTACCTGCCATCGACATAACATACGTATTAGGGGTGTAACGGTACACAGTATATTATTATTCAAATCGTTCGGTACGCTTCCGATGGTTCAATACGCATGAACCGTAGTATTATGATATGCTTGTCAATTTCCTATACATATCATAGGATGAATATAAGACGGTGTTTTTTCCACAAAACTGGGTTTGTCTTATTTTCGAGGTCTAGAATTTAAATCTCAATATACAACAGCAGACGGCGTAAATTATTCATAGATAAGATTTGGCATTCCAAATGTACAGGTACAGTACATACTAGGTACACTGTTCATACTAGGTACACTGTTCATACTAAATGGTATAGACAACTCAACTACAGGCTATGTAAGTCAAGTGTGGAAGTAAAATTGGACATTAGTAGGCCCAGGAGGGGAGGCATATTGGGTCTGTTATGTCTTAGGCCTTAGGCCAGAAGAGACACCTTTAATTTCAGTGTTTTTCTCTCCT